ACAACGTTTCGACAAAGGTTTGTCATCAAAAAAACCTTGTCGAAACGTTGTACATTTGCTGTTATATTAAAGTTTTTCTTCATTACCCATTCAAGCCGTCTCCAGCCATTATAAAGCTTTCCAATATTCAGCGGCGTGACGACATGCCATCGTATGACAGTTGTCAATTATCACGCGCTCTATGTTATACAACTAATTTTAGAAATATCCATTTTCAAAAACCGAGAGGACCATCCGATATTATATAACCATGTTAAATACCGAACGGCTTCATTCATCACATCGTTTCAACGATGCAGGCCATCTTGGACATTAACCATAAAACGCCCTCTGAAGGCCATTGCCAGTCTTCAAGAATTCGGGTTCCTCCGTCATCTGTTTCGTCACAAATTATTGATCTATCACGAATAGTATTAATTTTATCGATAATCGAACACGCCATGAAACTATCTAAGATTTCTCTATAAAACTGGTCTATCGTTATTCTTACAAAAATAATTGTACAATAATGTTTTTTGTTGCTTCCACAAGATATTCTAAGTAAATCACCTGGGATAACGCTCGTGGACCACTGAGTATTATATAATTGTTACAATAGTTGTAAAACGTTTACATTATCGGTAAGTAATTGTGTATCAAACTTCTAATTGTTTTTGTACTACAAAGTCAAAATCGTCAAAATGTTTTACATTCCTCCTTCATCTCAATTTTTCATCTTACTTAACAAGATAGTCACTTCCAAGCTCGAAATTCTCCAATCCAAGTAATCTTGTGAATACGAACAAAGGACTAGACCTCTGTTATCAGTATATCGATTTATAAGCCTAAAATAACTAAACTATCAAAACCACGTGAGAATGTATTGGATTAAATCAAAGGCAAGGTTTACAACAAGGCTTAATGCAATTGAGCTATATATTTTCTGACAGTTTTGAACTACAATATGAATAATTGTCATAATTCATCATAATTTCAAGTTCGTAGACAAATCTTTCAAACTAAACCATAGTAATTAACCTAAGCCTACTTTTATATAGCTTTATATTTATTCCTAGTGGCTTGTTTAGTTCTAAGTTAACTAAATCTGATTTTAATGCGTTATTTTAACATTACAGTTCGTATTTAAATTGAACCAAACTTACAAATAGGCATATAGATTACGTTTACATCTCCTTTATGTCCATAAAAATGTGCACTATATACATTTATTTTATAGCTTTACTTATATTATGGATTATTTTTGGTGATGGGCGAAAAGCCTCGTCGGTATTTGATATGACAGATGTGGTGTGGATAACGTATTTCAACACATTCTTCATTGCTTTCGTAAATGGGCTCTTAGAAACAAATGTAGTTTTTTTCTCCTGTTTACCCTATGATTACTTCACCCTCTCCAGAAACAAGAAAACTAAATTACGGTTTTCCAGTTCTTGTGACTCCAGAAACAATAAAACTAATTTATGGTTCTCCAGTTCTTGTGACTCCGGAAACAACAAAACCAATTAACAGTTTGGCAGTTCTTGTTACTCCGGAAACAAGAAAACTAGTTTACGGTTCGCCAGTTCTTGTGACTCCGCAAACAAGAAAAAGAATTTACGGTTCTCCAGTTCTTGTGACTCCGGAAACAAGAAAACTAATTTATGGTTCTCCAGTTCTTTTGACTCCGAAAACAACAAAACCAATTAACAGTTTGCCAGTTCTTGTTACTCCGAAAACAAGAAAACCAGTTTATGGTTCTCCAGTTCATGTGACTCCAGAAATAAAAAAAAACTAGTTTATGGTTCTCCAGTTCTTGTGACTTCGGAAACAAGAAAACCAGTTCACGGTTCTCTAGTTCTTGTGACTCTGGAAACAAGAAAACTAGTTTACGGTTCTCCAGTTCTTGTGACTCCAGAAACAGGAAAACTAGTTTACGGTTCTCCAGTTCTTGTGAATGATAGTAAAGTTAATTCAAAATTAGAAATAATAAATATATAAACAATTGATGTTAAAGTTTACAAAAAATAAAGTTCATTTGTTAATTCTTAACGTAAAATATGATTTGTAAATAACATTAATAATAATAATATACACTTGCTAATCCGGTTCATACCTTTAACAGTTGTTCGTGAAGTGTGATTATGTATATATAGCACTACTATATATGTTGTATCCCAGCCGGCCTAATGAGTCCTCGTATAAAGCGAAAGGCCTTGTCGGCAGTCACATGTAATGTAGTTGATATATTACTACATATTCTCCTTTGCTTTAATTTATGTGGTCTTAGAACTTAAAAGTTATTATTTGCAATGATATCTAGCCTGTTTTGTCTGATACTAGACCCACGGAACCAAAACTATGACACGTGCTGAAACAGTTCTATGAAAAATGCGGCACATTATTCGGATACACTGCGTTTGCAATATTAATTATACTAGCAGAAATACAAATACCCACCCTACGGGCAAGTGAAACTGTTAGTTCCTGCGGGCTTTTCTGGAATTGTCTGACAGTTCTACAACAATGTACTCATATTTGACATTCAATAACGTTCACCATCCACAAGAAAAAGGATTTTATTGAAATTTTAGTTTAAAAATGAGCTATCATTACAGCATTACATCACAGAGTACATTTTATTGAAGTATTTCTTTGTAGACGCAATTATCAATGATTGTGCCTTGCTTTTCTGTTGCAACACTCATGAGATTTTCACTAAAGGAAAAAAATATTTTTTTAAAGTTTGTTTTTTGATTGTTTTATATTTGAAACTTACTCCTTTTTTATAATTTTTATTGGTTAAATCTGAAACTTATCATTTT